GGGGGGGGGGGGGGCACCTCCAGGCTGGCACAAGGCTCAACCAACAAAGGACCCCAAGGAAACTATCACTAGGATTTCATGTTTAAAGGTATCAATAGCCCATCAGTACACCCCAACTCAGGCTTTACACTAAGAGCAGTTACTGCTGAAATTACACTGACCCAGTGTCGCCTTCCCATTAGGACAGCAGAAAGGAAAGCTTCAGACCCATGAACCTATAAAACTGGAGACTGGTTTGATTCCACTACAGTAAGCTAAGGGGATGTGAACTGTGGGTGCTATCTGAACTATACCTCCTCCTTCAAAGGAAATGTCACCCTGCCTGATGCCTGGGCCTTTTTGGAGCCCAGGAGAAAACAGATCAAGAAGAAAGGGCATCACACATAACATGACAGCAGTTTGTGTCCACACAGCACACAATGCAGGGAAGTGCCACTGTCATCCGGTTCAGTATGATTATTACTCAACTGGAAAACACCTCCACCACCAGTAGACTCATGACAAGTGGAGCTTTTCCTTTACTTGTTTTCCCCAGCCAGGAACATGGAAAAAGGGATGTCAGAGGGAAGGCTAAGATTTGAAGAACCACTTTACAAATTATCAATAAACATTTGAAACGGTGCTCAACTCAAGAAAAATGAAAAGTACACAACAAACATAAGTCATCCCTCACCCATCAAATTGGCTAAAAGTACAAAGATTGATGATGTTCCCATATTGACAACCAAGACTCTTTACTGCACAATTGAAGGCAGGCCTAAACTGTCACAGGCTTTCTGAAGAGACATATCACAGTATCTTGTTAGGAGAGCTATCACCATGAGTCCTGAGCATCCCTGCACATTCCTGCTGAGTGTCAGATGCAAGGTTTATCCATCTACTGATACTGAACAGTTTATGTAGCTATTCACAGAGGCAGTTAAAGGGGTAAAGCCACCCACAAAGTGATTATAACAGGGTTGGAGAACCTTTTTCTGCCAAGAGCCAATTGGATATTTATAACATTCGCAGAACATACAAAATTATCAACTTAAAAATTAGCGAGAAATTCCAGGATGGCTGCAGATTAAGGGGAAGCTACACTGACACTCGCCCAGGACCAAACTGGAATTACAACTGAAAAATAGAAAAACTGTCCTGAATAATCAACTGAAGACAAGCTAGAGAGCACCCTCATAACCAAGGACCTAAAGTGCAGAGTGCATAGAGACTGAGATGAAGTGAGGAGTCTTGAAATACTGGCAAGGCTCCCACAGGCAGCAGCTGAAGGTTCAGAGGGATAGATCAGCTGTGCAGGGTTCCCACTGAGAACTCTGGGGTATAAACCCCAAGCCCAGAGCACCAGAACTGAGAAAGGTGACCGCATAACATCTGGCTATGAGAAGTAGTGGGGTTTCTGTCTGCCAGAGAGAGACAGCTAGAAATACAGTCATCCTCTTAAAGAGCCAAAGCACAAAATTTTGTCTGCAGCCACTCGCCTGAGGTCAAAGTGGACTAGAGCTGTGTGAGGAGAATCCAGGGTTAGGGGTCTCTGAGGATAGAGCGTGGACTCCTCTGTTGAGTCATTCCCCTAGACTACAAAGGACATATTTCTGAAGCAGATCTTCACCATCCAGGGAGCTTTTGCCTATGGATAAAGCAATTGCCACACATAATTGGAAAACCTCTAGCCCCACCCTGTGTTTACACCATGCTGTGGTCTACAGCCTGAGGCTCTTGAAGAGACTAACAGTCAGCCTATAGGCAAAGGTGGATTGCTGGACACTTTGAGTATTTGCCTGATACGCTTCTAGACCCAGGGCTAGAAAGCAGACCTTGGTGCACATCTTAATTCTTTCCAAATGCACCCAGCCCCAGCAGAGGGATCCACAAGTTGTTGATAGCTCCAAATGGCACTCAAGGCCAGTCACAAATAGCTTCAGATGTTGGCCTGCACTAGAAACCCTCCAAAAAGAGAGTGTGTCCTAGCAGATCTACCTAATACATAGAAACAAACCCAAACAGGCAGTCGAAATGGGGAGACAAAAAAACAAGCCCCAAATGAAAGAACAAGAGAAGTCTCCAGAAGAGGAGCTAAATGAAATGGAGATAAGCAATCTATCAGATATAGAGTTCAGAATACTTATGGTAAGGATGCTCAGCAACATGAGAACACATATGGAAACTGAAGGAAATTAAGAATGACATAACAGAAATAAAGAATACATTGGAAATAATAAACAGTATATTAGTGGAAGCTTAGAAATAAAGAATACATTGGAAAGAATAACCAGTATATTAGTGGAAGCTTAGGATCAGATTAGCTAATTAGAAGATGGTAGAAAAAAATCACTCAATTAGAGGTCCAAAAAGAAAGAGCACTTAAAAACAGGAAGACAGCCTAAGAGTCTGTGGGACAACTTGAAACAACAATAGTCACATCATAGGACTGCCAGAAGGGGAAGAAAGTAAGCAAGGGATAAACAGCCTGTTTGAAGAAATAATGGCAGAAAACTTTCCTAACCTGGTCAAGGAAAAAGTCACATAAGTTCAGGAGGCACAGAGAGTCCCAAGCAAGAAGAATCCAAAGAGGCACATCAAAATTAAAATGCCAAGAATTCAAGACAAAGAGAGAATATTAAAGGCAGCTAGAGAAAAGCAATCTGTTACCTACAAAGAAGTTCCCATAAGGCTGTGAACTGACTTCTCATCAGAAACTCTACAGGCCAGAAGGGAATGGCATGATGTTTTCAAGGTAATGCAAAACAAGAGTCTGAAACCAAGACTACTCTATCCAGCAAGATTATCATTCAAGATAGATGGTGAAGTAGCTTCCCAGACCAAAAAAAAGGCTAAAGGAGTTTGTCACCACCAAACCAGCATTGCAGGAAATGTTTCAGGGACTGCTGTAATAAGAAGAAGAAATAGAGAGAGAAACATAGGCATAAAGAATTTAAATGACAGTAGATAAGTAATAGATAAGACAATAGTCAATAATAACCTTAAATGTAAATAGATTAAATGCTCCAATCAAAAGATGTAGGGCTGCTGAATGGATTAGAAAACGTGGCCCAAATATTTGCTGTCTACAAGAGACCCAACTCAGAACGAAAGACTCACATAGGATGAAAGTGAAGAGATGGGAAAATTTTTTCCATGCAAATGGAAATTTTTAAAAAGCTGGGGTAGTAATACTCATTTCTGACAAAAACAGACTTCAAAATGACCATAACCAAAGACAAGAAAGGTCACTACATAATACTAAAGGGATTGATCCAACAGGAGGATATGACTCTGGTAAACATATATGCACCCAATATAAGAGCACCTAAATATATATAAAAAAACTTCTGGAGGACTTTAAGGGAGAGATCAACAGCAAAACTGTCAGAGTAGGGGACTTTAACATCCCAATGACTTCACTGGATAGGTCTTCCAGACCAAAAATCAACAAAGAATCAGTGAACCTAAATGACACATTAGATCAGATGGATTAATTAACATTTACAGAACATTTCACCCCAAAGCTGCAGAATGTACATTCCTCTCAAGTGCACATGTGTCATTCTCAAAGTTAGACCACACGTTAGGACACAAAAGTCTTTACAAGTTCAAGAAGACTAAAATATCAAACATCTTCTTGGATCACAGTGGCATGAAAGTAGAAACCAACTACTATAAAAACATCCCAAAACATTCAGACACATGTAGGCTAAATAGCATGTTATTAAACAATGAATGGGTTACCAATGGGATCAAGAAACAAATCAAAAGCTTCCTGGAAATAAATGAAAATGAACACACAACAACCAAAAATCTATGGGACACAATGAAAGCATTCCTGAGAAGGAAGTTTATATCACTATAGGGCTACCTCAAAAAACAAAAATAATAATAATAATAATAATAATAATAATAATAATAATAATAAAAAACTAACCCTACACCTTAAAGAATTAGAAAGCTCCCCTGTGGAACTGGACCAGAGCATCTGTTTTCTGGGAGTTATTTTTATTACTGCTTCAA